ATACTACTCACTGCAACACAGCGGTCTAAATATATATTTTCATTATACATCACGGCTGTTTTCTTCATTGTTTGTACTAGTAAAATAGGCTGAGATCAACATCATCCTTAAGATAAGTCTGAAAAAAAGTTTTCCATTACTGTGAATTTAGTTGGGGGGGTTAGTAGCAGCAAAAATAAAAGGAGTCTTCTTAAAAACTAACAAGAGTCAGTGTGGTGTACTTTTAGTGTTGGGCTACCTAACCTGAGTCAGATTGAGGTGACGAGAGAGGAGGTCCTAAAACTGATAGACAACTTAAAAACTGAAAAATCACCAGGCCCAGATGGCATACATCCGAGAGTTCTGAAAGAACACAAATGTGAACTTGTGGATCTCCTGACAAAGATATGTAATCTTTCCTTAAAATCTGCCTCCATTCCTGAGGATTGGAAGGTAGCTAATGTCACTCCCATCTTTAAAAAGGGTTCCAGAGGAGATCCGGGAAATTACAGGCCAGTCAGTCTGACGTCGATACCGGGTAAATTGGTGGAAACCATTATTAAGGAAAGAATTAGTAGGCACATAGATGAACAAAACCTATTGAGGCAGACTCAGCACGGTTTCTGTAAGGGAAGATCTTGTCTCACTAACCTGTTAGTGTTCTTTGAGGGGGTGAACAAACATGTGGACAAGGGGGATCCAATAGATATTATTTACCTTGACTTCCAGAAAGCTTTTGATAAAGTTCCTCATCAAAGGCTCCTAAGTAAGCTCAAAAATCATGGGATAGAAGGACAAGTCCTTTTATGGATCAAAAACTGGCTAGTTCATAGAAAACAGAGAGTGAGTATAAACGGGCAATTTTCTCAGTGGAGGGTGGTAAGCAGTGGGGTACCGCAGGGATCAGTACTTGGTCCACTGCTTTTTAACTTGTTCATTAATGATTTGGAGATGGGAGTAAGCAGTGAAGTGGCTAAATTTGCGGATGATACAAAGTTGTTCAGGGTGGTGAAAACCAGTGAGGATTGTGAGGCACTCCAAGGGGATCTGTCAAGGATGGGCGAGTGGGCGTCAACATGGCAAATGGGGTTCAATGTGGCCAAGTGCAAGGTGATGCACATTGGAGCCAAAAATCCTAAATATAAATACACATTGATGGGGTCTGAACTGGCAGAGACTGAGCAAGAGAGAGATCTTGGAGTTGTAGTAGATAACTCACTGAAAATGTCGAGACAGTGTGTGACTGCAATAAAGAAGGCCAATGCTATGCTGGGGATTATTAGGAAGGGTATTGAAAACAGATCAGCCAATATAATAATGCCCCTATATAAATCAATGGTGAGACCTCATTTGGAATACTGTGTGCAGTTCTGGGCACCACACCTTAAAAAGGATATTATAGCTTTGGAAAAAGTGCAGAAAAGGGCAACTCGAATGATAAAAGGGTTGGAACACTTTCCCTATGAGGAAAGGTTAAAGCGCTTAGGGCTCTTTAGCTTGGAGAAAAGACGACTGAGGGGTGACATGATCGAGGTTTATAAGATTATGCATGGGAAAGAGCAGGTAAAGAAAGAGGTACTTTTCTCCCTTTCTCACAATACAAGAACTCGTGGGCACTCCATGAAACTGCAGAGCGGTCGGGTTAGAATGGATAAAAGGAAGTACTTCTTCACCCAAAGAGTGATTAACACTTGGAATTCACTGCCACAGGAAGTGGTGGGTGCTACAAGCATGGATGGCTTCAAAAGGGAATTAGATAAGCATATGGAGCAGAGGTCCATCAGTGGCTATTAGCCACAAGGTATAGCTAGGGGCTCTGGGGCAAGTGATGCTCTGTCTTCTTGGTGCTTGGGGGGGGGGTCAACAGTGGGAGGGGTTCTAATGTCCTGGCCCCACTGGTGGACCTCCTGATGGCACTGGTATTTCTGGCCACTGTGTGACACAGAGTGTTGGACTGGATGGGCCTTTGGCCTGATCCAACATTGGCGTCTCTTATGTTCTTATGTTCTTATGTTAACCTATCTTGCATGGTTGCTGTAAGGAAAAATAGAAGAAAGAAGACCCACATACACTGCTCTCAATTTCTTGCAGGAAGGGTGGCATAAAAATGTATTAAATGCTTTAAAAAAAGAAGAGGAGGAGGAGGAGACTGAATTTATATCCCGCCCTTCACTCGGTGTCTCAGAGCAGCTTACAAACTCCTTTTCCTTCCCCTCCCCACAACAGACACCCTGTGAGGTAGGTGGGGCTGAGAGAGCTCTTTCAAGATCAGCTCTTTCAAGATCAGCTCTGACAGAACTATGGCTTGCCCAAGGTCATCCAGCAGCTGCAAGAGGAGTGGGGAATCAAACCCAGTTCTCCCAGATTAGAGTCTGCGCACTTAACCACTACACCAAACTAGCGCTTAAAGGGAAACTGTCACATTACAAATGCCTGTTTTTTAAAATGGAAAAAAAACCCAATGTTGGGGAAGGACTGAGCTTCCCTCCACTGGCCTCACTCAACAGCCACAGCCCTGAAGCAGTCGTAAGAGGTAAAGAAATTAAGGGGCAGTGTGCTCAGAGGCAACCTGCAGCCATGGAGGAAAGTGCTGAGCTCCACAGGTTTATTTTAGTCAACCAGTTACTTCTCTGCCTATAAATCTTTGGTTTTATTTGTATCTAGCACTTCTACACTACTTTTGAATCCGTATCCTTGATTTGCTTGTGAATACTGGTCACTTCAAAACAGGGAAACAAATGTTCTGCTTGTATTATAGCTAACAAAAATACAGATTAAAACACCAACAATTAAATCTATACAAGTTACTATATAAAACTTACAAACTAGTAACAGAATAATCAGATAATGTGCTAGCTAGGTTATAACCATTAGATAACACCTACAACACTAACCTCTCTAGCGAAGGTAGCACGGCAAGGAAAGAATTCTGCCTGAGATCTGGGAGCCAGTCCGAATAAGCACTAATGATCTGATTTAATACAAAACAGGTTCATATGTTAGCTAATGTCAACCTGCCAAGCATCTGAGCCACGGGAAAAATCCAGTTTTTGGCTTGCTCTGGCTATATAATCATTTGCATACAGTTATGTAATATTTCTAAATTCACTGAATCTAATTAAGTGCAGGCAATGGAGCATAACTCTTTAAAAGACTACACTAAAAGATAGTGGTGAGCCTCATACTGTTAATTCCAACTAGTCCCACACTCTCAGCCTAATCTAACTCATAGAGTGGTTGTGAGGATAAAATGGACGAAGGAATAATGCTGTAAAGCAAACCTTTGGGTTCTGTGGACGCAAAACATTTTATTTTCTGCCATTACAAAGTTTCTTATAAAGAATTCAGAAAAGGATAAAGAATTCATGAACAGAATATTGGCTTCAAGAATACAAATTCAAAGGGTTTCTTCCCTTAGCTTATTTGTTTAGTATAGATGCAAGTTTTTTAAAAAATCAGGCATACAAATTGCTCTCTTTATCATGTAGTCTAAATATGTCACATTTTGTGCTAAGTGCATCAACATCCTATCTGATGCCATGCCTTACAATTTGGAATGATACACTGGAGACACACCAGAACAAATGGCAAACAACTGAATGGCCACTGAATGCAATAAGGACGTCTGGCATGACTATTAAAAATAATGGGAATTACACCAAATGGTTATAAGCATGAAAGTCAGTGCAACACTTCAAAAAAGATAATAGCAGAAATGAAACATGAATTATATTTCTACCATATCAATTTGCAATATTGCTTGGATGTACTTCTTAGAAAGCTGGCCAGCTGTAGTAGTTAACTGTTACAGTATCAGATTATGACCTGGGAGAATCTGGTTTGAATCCTTGCTTTGCCATGGAACCTCACCAGCTAACCCTAAGCCTCTCAGCCTAATCTATCTCACAGGGTGGTTGTTTTAGAGATAATACAGTGGGGGGGGGGGAGGATGACAGGATAAGCCTCTCTGGGGACTGGTTAAAGGGTAAAGAGGGGTATCAATTTTTTACATAAGAACACAAGAGATGCCAATGTTGGATCAGGCCAAAGGCCCATCCAGTCCAACACTCTGTATCACACAGTGGCCAGAAATACCAGTGCCATCAGGAGGTCCACCAGTGGGGCCAGGACATTAGAAGCCCTCCCACTGTTGACCCCCTCCCCCAAGCACCAAGATGACAGAGCATCACTTGCCCCAGAGTCCATAGCTATACCTTGTGGCTAATAGCCACTGATGGACCTCTGCTCCATATGCTTATCTAATTCCCTTTTGAAGCCGTCCATGCTTGTAGCCGCCACCACCTCCTGTGGCAGTGAATTCCATGTGTTAATCACTCTTTGGGTGAAGAAGTACTTCCTTTTATCCGTTCTAACCCGACCGCTCAGCAATTTCATGGAGTGCCCACGAGTTCTTGTATTGTGAGAAAGGGAGAAAAGTACCTCTTTCTCTACCTGCTCTTTCACATGCATAATCTTATAAACCTCAATCATGTCACCCCTCAGTTGTCCTTTCTCCAAGCTAAAGAGCCCCAAGCGCTTTAATCTTTATTCATAGAGAAAGTGTTCCAACCCTTTTATCATTCAAGTTGCCCTTTTCTGCCCTTTTTCCAAAAGCTATAATATCCTTTTTAAGGTGTGGTGACCAGAATTGCACACAGTATTCCAGATGAGGTCGCATTTCAAATTTCAAATCTTTTGAAATTTCTGTTGTCAATCCTATATTAGATTATACCCTAAGCAATACGGTATCACACACTCGGTGCTCTTGATGGGCGAAACACAGCCTTTCCCATGGCCTGCTAGATCGAAAATCTCAGCACACTCCTGGTCTCCTGCCCCGTCGCCCCTTTCCCCACGCGGCGCGCCTGCACTCGTGCCCTTGCCGCCTTTGCCACTCGGAGGGAGGACTGCCGCCACCTCTACCTGGCCAGGTGAGACGGGGCGGGGCAAGATGACTCCTCCCTTCCCTGCTTCAGGTACGGTTAGCAGCTCTGACTCGACAGTTGAGTGTGCCACTGGCGCGGAGGGAGCATGGCGGACTCGCAGCTCCTTTGCCTGGACGACGCGCACGTGAACGAATGGATTGGTGAGAACCACCCGCGGTATTACTACAGCGAGCCCCGGCGGCGGGCCCTGCAGGCCCTGGTGGGCAAAGGGGAAAAGGCATACAAGGAGCAGCTGAAGACCGAGAAGTTGCGTGACTTCCTCTCCAGCCGGGAGCGCCAGGCCTTGCGGAGCAGCTGGTGCGCCTACGACGCGCACCTCGACCGCGGCAAGAGTCTCACGGGACCCGCCGGGAAGCCCCTCTCGCTGGCCTATTGGCCCGAACGCTCCGACACGGAAATCCCTCCGCTGGACTTGGGCTGGACCCACAACACTTTCTACCGAGGACTCAACCGCTTGGCTCTCTTTACCCACCCCCGTAAGGAAGAAAATGCGCCTCGCGTCAAGGAAGTGGCGCGCGAAATGATCCAGCAAGCGCAGAAGGTGGGTCTCCCCCCCGGTAGCCCTTCACTCCGGGCGGGCTGTGTGTGCGCCGGTGGGGGGAGTGGGAAGTCCAGTATAAGGAATGAATATGGCAGCACTGTTTCAAAAGACGACATGTACAGCGATTTCTGAGGGAAGTCTAAACCTGCCAGATCAGTTCTGAGTTTCAAATGGAAACTTTTGTTTTAAGTACAGAAGGTGCTGAGGCAGGCACCAAGAGGGTAACGGAGAAAGAACTTCATTCAGCAGCCCTCTGTTCCAGCCCACTTGAGTGCTCCTGAGGCCCTGCTTCCTTGGCAAAGGAAGCTCCCCCTTCATTAAGCAAACTTCGGGATTTTGCCGCTACTGGAAAGAGTGCTGTCAGCTTTTCCGCTCAGCTTTTCCTTGTTCTAAAGGTTTGCCCCTTATTCACAGCCCAGAGTAATGGCATGGGTAGGAGTTAATATGGAACAACTTGGCTCCCCAGAACAAGTCCAAACAGGTTTTTCTGTATATTTCCACACTTTCATCTGGGATCACTTTCTTCTCCCATATGGGATTCTGTCATTAAATACATGCTTATACCCTTTTCCTAAATAGATTTGTTTAAAGGTAAGGCCCATTGTTTTCATTGGGGCTAGTTGGTTTAATAGTGTATCATGCACAATCTACTGAGCTCTTGAGCAAACCTTGGGGGTTGTACAGGGGAATTCCACAGTAGGTTGTGCCCAACACAATTAGGATTGTGGTGTATGCATGGTTAAAGTCTGCAATCTTCATGGATTCTGTTCTCTTTGGCTTAAGTTTTAAGCACACTTCTGGTATCAGGAAAACCATTCCATTGAGCTAGGTGCGATTTACTTTAGCTTTAATATACCTTGCCTGGATCAGGCTGTAAGTCATTAGTGGTCAAGAGCACATACAAGATTAAATGTTTAAAATGTGAGATGTATGCTTTGAACACTGAAGAAAGAAGCGCTGTCATGCTCTAGACAGTCTTAACTACACTTCTGTTGGGTTCTCTGTAGGGACGTGTTTGGAATAGAAGAGGAACTCTTTTAAGACCAGGGACTTCTGCAATCTTAACAGTACCCTGCAGTCTACTTTAACCATTCCTTAGACCTTTTCTGGCTAATGGCTGCCCTAGGTGTTTTCCACACAAGAACAGGCTTGTGTAGTTTCCCCATTGCTGCAGCAGGGCTTCCACATGGCAGATGTTTTTCAGGGCTATTTTTAAATAGCAATTAAACTAATATTATAATGTTATAACAAGCTGTGTTTCAGGTTTTCAGTATTGTTAGCTTTCATTAAAGAAGTCTCTAGGGTGGGGGTGTCAAAAATAAGGCCCCGGGTCCGGAACTGGCCCGGCCAGGGCTCTTGTCCCGGCCACGAGCAACTAGTGCGATGGATGGAATAGGAGGCTGCTGGGGAGGGGGAGTGGCCAGAGCCACTCCAATTGTGGCTTCAGCACAGCAGAACAATCTTGTCTGCAGCAGTCAAGCAGAACCCCTTCACTTCAGTGGCAGCCTCACTGGTAAATTGGGAGCTGCTGCAGCCGCATTCATACTGGTTCTGGGTTCCAAGGTGACGTCGCACACCTCTCCACTCAGCCTGTAGCTCTGTGGATGCTATTCCGTATGGCCACAGTGATCAGCATTTGCATGGGGGGTGGGCACAGAGGATCATGTGGTGGGGCCTGCTTGTAGCCAGCACCACTGTCATATTCATGCTGCCATGAATATGTGCTTTTACAATTTCTTCTGCATATCGGGGGCCTAGTCCTGCCACCAAGTGCAGGCAGCTGGGCTTCTCCCCCCCCATGGAACACCCAGCAGCCTTCAGCCACAGACGGCTACCATCTTGTGGGGGGCAGTGCCAGCAATCTCCTGGTCACTGGGTGGCCTGCCTCTGCCACATGTGCAGCCTTGTGCCCGCTCCCCCATCAGACAATCCGGCAGCCTTTGGCCTAGAGCGGCTGCCGCCACATGGGAATGGCATGGCTTGTCGATGATCTCTGGCTTGAACCCTCAGCATCGCCCCGCCATGGATCACCAGCCGGTAGAGGCGGCCACTGCTGCATGGGTGTCTCCAGGTTATCGGGCTTTGCTTGGCCTGGGTCCTGCCGTGCATGTGACCCTATATATGGGCCGCCGCCACCCTCCTTCCGCAGGCAAGACGGTCAGTTCAACCTTTCCATGGTGCCTCGGGGGCAGGAGCGAGCTTGCAACACCCAGGCAATCTGATGCATATTGTTATGATACTCAGCTGCTGATTCAAAGCACACAAAATGTTTGGGGGGAGCAAATGGCTACTGCAGGGGCAAAAATATTGCTGCCATGAGGTTGGGACCAAAAAATTCAAATTTTCCCATCCAGCTAGCAGCTGTCCAAGCTTTGCTGTGATCGTTTTTAAAACTTCACAGAAAGCGGCTGTGGAAAATATCAAAGCTGGGGAAACTCTGGAGGTGCACAAATTCACCACAATATGGTGGGAAAGGAGGAAATCCACACCCCAACTGCATCCCCCCCAACCCCCTGAACACATAACCCATGGGGAAAAGGCTTCAGGTTGTTTCCGTACAGCAGTTTTGCTCCACTCTGATCTTCCCCCACCCGAACTGCAATGGTGGTGGTGGGGAGGCTTCCTCACAACCTTGTTGTATAGTCATCTACTTTCTGGGCTTTCCCTGGCTTTGCTGTATTTTTCCGAATCTACTTTCATAGCTCTTTCAGGAAAGATAATATTCAGAGCAGGTTTAAGATCTGTACAGATGGAAAGGTGTCGATTTCCACACTGCTCCGACTGTATCTAGCACAAATGGGCTTTTTTAAAATCAATCATAGATTCATCACTTTAGTCTCCTACTCCAGCACTATGCCTCTTTGTGCGCATAAAGCGCTGTCAGGTAGCAGCAGGCTTATGGTGACCCTGTAGGGTTTTTGAGGCAGTTGATAAACAGAGATGGTTTGCTGTTGCCTGCCTCTGGTCCCTGCCACACGGCAGGGAAAAGGACGGCTGAACTGCGGCTAATCTGAGCCGCACCAAAGTTGAGACGTCGCGGTGGGATCCCACGGATCCCCCGAGCCGCGGCGCGGCGCTCCCCGGCACGATCAGATGCCTGGGAGGGGGAGTCTGCCGAACTGCGCGTGTCCGAGCATGCGCAGAACGGCCGGGATGCGCCGGCGCAAGGACTCGCCGGCCAATCCCACGGCCCGGTTTGAGGCGCTCTACTGGAAAGAACCACCTAGGTAGGTGGTTCTTTTTTAGTGCGCGTTTTCGGCGGTAGGGACGGATCAGGGACGGGCAGGCAACGATTCCCAGATGTTGCCGTGGGATCGCGCCCGTTTGCTCCGCCCCCGTTCCATCCCCCTCCCCCTCATATGAACAGGGCCTCTGTGTAGCAAGTAACTCTGTGCTTCTTTGGTGGTCTTCCATCGAAATAATAGGGCTGGCCTTGCTTAGCTTCTGAGAGCTGATGAGATCAGGCTAGCCTGGGCTATCCCGGCTGTTGATTAAAAAAAAAAAAAACTAGCAGAACCCCCATTAGTGTGTGTGGGGGGGAGGTAACAAGCAGGAGGGTTATCCTCCTTGCTTATCCTCCGCAGAGACTCTGTTGCTGCAGTGAGAGCAGAACAGATGATTGCCCTCATGTGGAAGCAACACTAGTCAGTTGGGAAGAGTGGTCATATACACCAGTGGTTACAGTGAGGATTCTTGCTCTCATTGCATGATTATTATAAATCTGGAGATTGTAGTTATTTGAGATTAATTTTATCTGAATTTTAAAGGTGTGATCCAATAGGCAAATGTATATACTTAGAAATTATTGTCCTTTTCCCTTTTCTGGATATGTATGTAATCCTGTTTTCATTTGTTTATGTAAAGTTAAAACCCTGTGATCTTCCGCACTTATAAGTAATTCCATCCATTTCAGTGCAATCTGACTAGTGTGCAGGAGCATTTCTAATCATATATAGAACTAATCTGAAGTAAATAATGGTACTTCCATAGGCCACGTATTTAAACAAATACTTGGTCTTTGCGGCATTTTCTTAAGAGCATGGTGACCAATTCTAACAGCTCTGATACAGGAAGCAGAGCAAAACCATGAGACAGGATACTTCTGAAAGGAGTTAATCTCTTCAGATACTTGGAATCAGCAAGTTTAATGATTGGTAAAGATAGAGAAGCATGTGCCTTGCAACACGGGATTTTAAAAATGTCTTTCAGGTACTATATGTTAGCCAATATTCTCCAGTATTCCTCTCTCTGTATTGAATGTTCTAAATGCTTCCTCCCCATCAGAATGCTATAAAATATAAAATGAAAGTGTTCCATAGCTTTTCTTTCATTTTTAAATGTTTTCAAGGACAACAGCCAAAGCCATGTTACTGAAAATTATTCTGTTGCACACTCTCCCAAGTGTCATAAAGTCTTGATCTATTTATCACGCTGTGTTCAAAAGCATAATTGTGTTATCCCAGGAAAGGCAACTTGGGTATGTTGGATATCCTCACTCACCTTTTGGTCTTTAAGCTCACTGAGTGGCATCTGTCATTTATACATCTTTAAAGATCAGTTTCATTTTAAGCATTGGGAGCACTGTTCCAATAATTCCAGTCTCTATAGTCCAGAAGAGTGGGGTGCTGCAACTTCTGCTGGTCCACACAGTTGACAGGGACAACCTTTTAATGTTCAGTATGGGAAGAGAGGTGTAATCTCTTCCCAAGATACTCCCAGTGATTCTCAGAAATGTTACAAAGCTAGTAAAGTCCATGAAAGGAGTTCCTTTCCATTAATTCTGAACTGATTAAATTTTGTGCCGTTAAATTGGTACTCTCAGTGAAACCTTTCTCTATGTCCTGTCACTTTAATAGTAATCCAAATAGACCTCTTCTGTCAAAATGACTCTGGGTGACAGTTTTATACGCTATACAAAGTGCTATATTAACAGCATGATTGCTGCCTCTGGATCTGCTCCAGACTGTGTTCAGTTTGCCAGTATACATGTGTAATGATTTAAAAATAAAAGTTTCCAAGAACATTACTTTTACTCTTCAGGCTCATCGTCTGATCGCTGTCTGCAACCTAGGTAGCTCATAATGATCTCAGGTGTAGAACCACAGTAACTATTAGGGTAAGGGTGGATACCAAAAAAGTTGCCGGCCACATTAAGGTTATTTGGAAACACTTATTTTTCTCCCTTTGCTCCACCACTCACTTTATTTGTGTGTAGGGATGCCAGCCTGCAGGTGAGACCTGGGGATCTCCTGGATTTACAACTCGTGTCCAGACTACAGAGATCAGTTACCCTGGAGAAAATGCTTTAGAGTGTGGACTCTTTGGCATTGTACCCCACTGAGGTCCCTGTCCTCCCCAGGCTTTATCCCCAAATCTCTAGGAGTTTCTCAACCTGAATCTGGGTGGGGGGGCATCCCTGCTTATGGCTAGGGGGGACCTGGCAACCCTATATCTGTGTCACTCTTCTCTCTCCCCTGATCATGGGCGATATCTGTAAATTTTCCATTATAATGTTACGTCCCTCACACACACACACACACACCCATGTATCTGAAGAGTAAGTATAAAGATAAATGAGTTATTGCATGTTTCAGCAGCGGAGATTGCTGATTTGCTTAATTTTAATCCATTTTTTGCTGATTTGGAAAATGGAGAATCTTTAACCATCAAAGCCTTAAGGTCCATGTGTTTAAAAGAGTCATCAAGTAGTTTAATACTTTGCTCATGTGATAAAACCCTTGGGCTCTTCTTTGTACATAGACATTGAGTGATATTATTGTGCTGTTTTAAATGCATACAGATTACAGGATTTATGAGGATTGACTCATATCTTGATGGTCTTTTCAAACCTGTGACCACTTACAAGTAACCTTTAATCTGGGCAAGTTTGGGGCAACTGAGGCAGAGGTGATCTATGTCCTGCAGTGGCTTAATTAATGGCTGTTAAATTTTCAAGTGATGCAACGTAAATTTGAACCTCATAAAAAAGAAAGGATTGTATGTACTTAATAAATTGTGTCTGGACGGTACAACACTCCAAGATTGTGAGCTTCTCTGATACGGAGCATTTTGTGGTTGCACAAATTATTTGCCTCCAGCTTTAAAGAACATCTCCCCTCCTCCCCACTTGTTCTTGCTAGCCCTTTGTTCTGCTTGTATGGTCCTGTTTCCATTAGGGGAATATTTAACCAGTCCAAGCAGTTGCGTTCCATCAGGACTGGCAACACTGGAAGGCTTGCTACAGACAAGATTTTTAAAAGGTTTATAATTCAGAAGAAGGAACTGCTGGCAGTCAAGCTGAAAGCACAGCTAACATTTGAATATTTGTGTCAGCACTTTAACTTTTTAAAGTTAAAAAAAATTGTATTGGGGTTAAATCCTGCATGTGGGCTGTATGTTTATCCTTAGATGGATAAATGTCAGATTGTTCTGGTGCCCACACCCCACACAGACACACACACAGCAGTATAGGTTACATCACAAGCATGGAGGTTGTGGAGTGCCAAAGAGTGAAAAATGTCCTCTGGGCATCTGCTTAACACAACGCATGGATAGCCCTCAACAGGAACTTTCTAGTCTGTACAGACAAGCGAGAGTCATGCTATTAATTCTATCTCAAATATGCTAATGTTTCTGACAGTTAAGTGTTAATTGTGAATATATATTATATATCCTCCTGCCTTGGATGCATACATTTGTGTTTCATAGTGGTACTGCTTTTGACCACAGCAGCTTGGTTTTATTGAAATGACTGTTCTCCTATGTCCATTTCCAGATCATTGCAGTTGTTATGGACCAGTTCACAGACAGGGATATCTTCCAGGATATTGTAGATGCAGCATACAAACGTCGGATCCCAGTCTACATTATCTTGGATGAAGAAGGCTCTAAGTTTTTCCTGGAGATGTGCAAAGGCATGGAGCTCAGTGATTTCCAGATACGGGTATGATTTTGTTAACTCTCTTGTTATAATGACTCTTGAAAGATATCAGGGCACAGATATACTGTCATTTTCCGATGGACAAAAGAATTCTTGCCCTGATGGAGGACTGAATGCTTTCTGAAGGTTTTGTGGCCATTGAGATTTTGATACATCCAGTTAACCAGGAGACAAATATTCAGCATTTTAAATGAATAGTAAATTAGTCTTTTTTTATTTTTACCTGGAACCAGACTTTTTCCCAATCTGTAATGTGGAAACCCATTTTGTATTTTTATTGTGTTTCTGTGGTTCCCTTTCTGTTTTCCCACTTTATGTCCTTTTCTTCATCTGTCTTTTCCCCTTAATAATAATTTTTCTGTCCTGCTCTCTGTCTTTTTCCCTTAATAAGAAAAGAAAATACTGACAGCACCATTGGTTTGACCCACCATAGTTCAGGGTGTAACCAAGTGTATCAAAACCCACAATTCAGAGATGATTGTTTAATGTAAACAAACCAAGGCATTAATAATTCTAGAACCATGATATTTCAGATCTCATTTTATATCAAATAGGTTTTATTGTTTTCCAAACCCCCCCCCCCCTTCCTGGCTGGTAATATCACTTAAATGGTGTGTTTTTCAAAAGGAAAGAAGTTCTGATATCACATAGGGGCAGTTTTTACCAGCAAGCAACCAGTTCTGTCATAATATTTGTGTTGTTAATTTCCAGGCACCAGTTGCAACAACATACATTTTGGAACAATCATGAATATTTTTGCAGATGAGGTCATAGAGTTAACTGCTCACGTGTTGTATGCTCTTGCTGTTGCAAACCTGATTGCTTCCTGCATGTGTATAACATGAGAACAGGCCCAACTAAGGCCTGATGTTAGTTGACAATCCTATGTGAACTTACCTGAACAGTGTCAAGACACTCAAATATAAGGGAGCAGGAATCTTCTGAAATTGCTGGAGTCTATTAGTTTTAGTGAGTTCTGGTTTTAGATTCTTACCCTCCTATTTCAGTTTCTGGGGACCATGGGTGAACTGTGCTGATGACAGCCATAATTCAGTGGTAGATCACATGCTTTGCATTCCAAAGTCCTCAGGGTTTGTTCCCGGAATTACCAGTTAAAGTATCTCCCTGTAGCAGATTGGGAGGACCTGAACTTTGAAAGCTGCTTTCAGTTGAGTGGAGAATATATTGGAGTAGATATACCAGTCATCTGGAAAGTATAAGGCAGCTTAGTTATGAGCCAAAGACCTTGCTGAAAGCTAAAGCTGACTGGTTATTTTCATTCGTCAAAATCTTGAATTATTTTGTCTCTTTTCACTTCCATCTCAAATACATTTCAAATGATATATTTTATGAAAAAGCATGTTTTTAATTATCTGGAAACAACAGAAAAGTCAGGAATTTTAAGACAAAAAGGCCTAATTAAACCATAAGGACAGCTTAAATGTAGCAGGGCCCTAACCTGCTATATATGAATAAATAAAAAAGTAAAATAAAAATAACCTATAGAATATTGTGAGTAATGGTTTATTTTATCTTGTGTATGAGAACTATCTTCTCCTTACACTAATGAAGCACAAATCCAATTTGTTTTTCTCAAAAGAGGAGAAAATTTAATGATAAAAATCCAGCCGCTAAATTCTGGTAGGATTTCCTTTGTTTGGTAAGGAAACATTTTCTTAAGCTCCTCTGCTTCCTGATAAAGAATTTGTATAACCTACTGAACTGGTTAACCAAACAGCAGAAGCTGTATCAGCTTTTTTCTTGTGGACCTAGCACTGCGTACTAGATCAGAAACTATCAAAGCAGGATTGGTGGAAAAAGCATGTAATCCTAAAGAAGATTCATGAGTCTTAGATGGGGAATGGGGCATTAAAACTCCTGCAAAACTGACTAGAAATTTCGAGGACTCTACCTGCAAATGAGAATTTTCAAATCTTCTAGAAAGCGCCTTTTCCTCTGAGTTAAGATTTGCCAGGGATATCTTGCTTCAAATTACATCTTTGGGTTATGTAGAATTGCTACGAGTGCCTAGCAGGGCCTTCATAGTGGTGGCTTTGACCTTATGGAATCCACTTGCTAGAGACTCCAATCTGCAGTGGCTTATTAATGTGTATAAAATGTTGTAAAAGTGTTTGTTTTCAAACAAGCCTTCATGCTGTATAAACAATTGTTGCTGACAACCAACTTTTTATAAGTACATGTTGTTCCTGAGTTGTTGGGTTTTTAAAAAAATGCTATGGTAAATAGCCATGTATTCTCAGGGGTGTGGAGAAATAAATTATATAGGTAAATAATCTCAAATTCACCACCCCCCATGAGATCCGGAGGTATTGCTTCATGTGAGAGTTTTCACACATAGTTTATCAGAGGAAAAATGCATATAGGCATGATTAAACAAATGTGTGCATTAATTGCATGCCTACACAGTTTTTCCTCCCAGTGGAGATGTCTGCTAATCCAGTTTGTGTGAAGTGGACCTTGTATATCAGAAGTGTTTACATTACTCCATTCAAATATATACTAGCCACTGAGAGACTTTAACCAGGTTGCTTCTTTCCTTCATTTTTCTCTGATTTTAAAAATAAATGCCAGTGTTATCAGATAAGTTTTTTTAATCAAATGAATTTCAGAAGCAGACCGTAGATATAAATAACTGTAGATCGCTAGTCAGCAAGTAGTTCCTTGGAGGGCTGCTTCGAGAAGAGTAAGAAGTAGATGGCCAAGTTTGTTATGTCTCATAGTCACTTGCTGTTGCCCTGGACAACATTTCCATAGTGTTCCTCTTTGGCTCTAGATTGACATCTTGGGGGGTCAGGCAATATGGCTGGTAGTCTGGATTTGGCCTAGAGGCTTCTGATTGCTGATCTTTCTCATGATTATGAAAATGTTTAGGATAAATACCAGGAAGTGCATCAGGATCATAGCATTTAACACTTTACACGTTCAGTTATTTATAACAAGCAGTTAACAAGAATGAATAACAAAAGCTATAAAATGTCAATTAAAAGCTAGCATAAAATTTCAAAATCAGAAGCTGCAGCATAAATGGAAAGCAACATAAATGGGTCTAGATTATGCTAGCTAGTATCAAATGCTTGTCAGAAGGCGGCAAGAAAAGGCCACAGTGAACCTCTTGGGGCTGGAGGAGTGCATTCCACAGTATAAGGTGTTGCTCATACTAGGCAACAAGTTTACATCTACCTGAAGTGGAGTCTTGAGTATGGCCTTGTTGGCAGATCAGAGACCAAGAAGGTTCGTATGTGAGAAGAGATGAAATGCCTTGTACTCAAATGCCCATCTGTACTTGGTGCTGAAGTTATCCTTCTTATTAGACTCTGTGCTAACTAGTGAATGGGCTAAGGTGGGTAGCTGTTTTGGTCTGAAGCAGCCGAACAAAGTTTGAGTCCACTGGTACCTTTAAGACCAGCATAGTTTTATTCTAGGTATAAGCTTTCATGTGCGTGCACACGTCTTCAGATGAAGAAGTGTGCATGCACACAAAAGCTTATCCCGAGAATAAAACTTTGATCTTAATGGTGCCACTGGACCCAAATTTTGTTCTATTGAATGGTCTGTTTGTTTTCCTGATTAGTTGCATTTCATGAGTTCTTGACCATGCTATTTGTTTGTATGTTCTCCCCACCATGCATGAAATGACAGCATAGTGATTCACTCATTGTAACTGAAGACGTGGATTCTAGTCCGTGAAAGATTATGCTAGAATACAATTTTGTTAGCCTTTGAAGTGCCAGAAGACTCCTGTAAAGGAAAACTTAGGACTCCTTAAACATTTTGGATGTTAACTAGCTTAGCAAAACTAGAAAAATGACCAGTTATTGCTACTGTGAATGGTATCTGAACTTTTCTTGATTATCTTTTAATTTTATGTAATTACATTACACCCCATGCACGTCCCGCATTTCAGGGCCCCATTTTGTTTTTTGTGATAACCTCATAAGTCTGCCTAATGAGGACCACAGTCATCTGACAATGGACTTTAGTCTACAAAAACATATGCAGGAATAACATTTTGTTATGGTACAGGGAACTTTCCTTATACTAGAATATTCCTAGAAAGTGGGATTGGGCTTCTGTTGTCTCTGAACAGACCTCCCTTACCAGGCACATGTAAGATTACCTTTTTTGTTGTTTCACATCTAGTATTTTTGTGTTAGTGGCTACTACACTTCTAAATACGTCTTGATGCCAGAAACAGGATAAACTGCCTGCTCTCCTCACCAAAGTCCTAGCACGTGGGAAGCTGACTGCAGAGCAGGGGAAGGGATAAAGCTACAAAGCAGCTGGTTAAATGCATCATCAAGGTTATGAGAACTGAGTCTGCTGAGGTTATCCCTAAAATGGAACTTCCTGCATGAGATCTTGCTACTTTCCTTGGTTTCTTCTTGGTTTTTGTTGACTTGCTAATGAACCCTTGAGAAGTGGGAGTATAGGAAGGCAAGGTAATGATTAGACTTCCTTTGTGCATTGCCCACTGTGTCTTTTCTTGTTAGAATATCCGTGTACGCTCTGTGACAGGAGTTGGTTACTATACGCCATCAGGGAAGATCAAAGGCAATTTGGCATCCCGGTTCCTGTTGGTGGATGGTGAAAAAGTCATCACTGGTTCCTACAGGTCAGTTTCTCAACCAGGAACTCCATCCATGTGTCCCTCTTCCTTTTGGTAACTGTGGGGCACAAATGTGTTATCTGGAAGGGGGGCACACAGCAGCTCCCATGTAAGGAAATAATATACAATGTAGAAATGCTAAACTTGCAAGACGCTGCCTCTGCGGAGCCTCTAATCTGAATGCTTAGCCTGGGCTTTGTCAAGATGAAGGGATCTAGTGCTGTCCATACAGGTGGTCTGCCAATTCAGCTGCCACTGACTATAAGCTGTGAAAGGAAATCCACATGAAGGATTTCATAGGATGTCCAATAAAAGGGTGTGATGAGTACTGAAATATTGTGCCCTCCCCCTACCTCCACCCCAGCATTTATTTACCAGATAGGTTTCATACAGTATTCCAAGTTATGGGGTTAGCAGGATAGTACTGGGCACCCTGATTTGAATGTCATGCCTGCAAGACCTTCTCCACTGTGTGCTTGTCAATAACAGCCAGTCTTATGGAATACTTGGGTAGATAAATGCAATCTCTGACTACTGTAATGTGCATTCCTGAATAATAAAAGAGCTTAAGTTTGAAAAAGTAGCTCTTTCTATTAATGTCCAGACTGTAACAGCATCCTCTTTGTTTCGCAGTTTCACATGGACCTCATCCCACATAGACAGAAACATTATTTTGTTCTTGTCAGGACAGAATGTGGAAATGTTTGATATCGAATTCCGTGAGCTCTATGCCATTTCGGAGGAGATAGATCTCTATAAGGAGCTAAACATTCCGTGCCCTTTCCGTCAAGATGCTGGAAAACTGGGATTTTCCTCTTCCACTGTAGCCCGGAAGATCATCAACCCAAAGTATGGATTAGTGACGGGGGTTCCCCCAGGGGAAATGATGCGCTGGGCTTCCCGCCAGATGCAGGAGTCACAAGGGAACCCACAGGAGAAGGAAGAAGAAAGCGAGTCAAAAAGACGACTGCATATTTTTCTAGATGATCTTATTTCAGTAGAACAGGAGCTGCCAGAAATTGAGCCTCCGCTCGAGGATGTGAGCAGTGCGAACCGGAGTCCTCAGAAGTTGTTTTCCCGATCCCATCGGGACCTGAGAACTAAATCCAAATCCAGAGAGTCCATTCGTGACCTCAGGAAGGATGAAGCTGCCAATGGGGAGACCAGTTCCAAGCAGGGTAAGAGATTTGGCACTGGACTTTTCAGAAAGGCCAAGCGTCTGCCACACTTGAATGCTGATGCAAATTCTGTTACCAGTGAGACTCTAACAGGAGACGACTTTGTGATTGTGACAACGCCAAAGGAGGGCCAAGCCACTTTTAGTGTTCGTAGTAGTGGGAACACTTCAGGTAAATCTCTCTGGAGGTTTTGCTTCTACCAGTCAGTTCCCCTTACCCTTCTGTGATTTTGTCCTCTTTCCTCTGCTCTGTTGTTCCCAAAGGTTTGCTGTTCTGTAATAGGACTAATGCATGGTTGTGATCCCATAATCTCCTTTCCTTGTCTGCACTGAAAGGGCAAAGTGGAAGGAAGGCAGCCATCTCAAATTTTAGTGTAATCTTGAAGCCTGACACTTCTTGTGCATCCTTACCTGGAAGTCTTTTAGGTGAGCGTGTCACAAAGGCTGCTGCAAGACATTGACATTTCTCTCCCTTTCAAAAATAGGTTCAATAAACAGGCATTTTGATTCCAGGGAGGGAGCAGGCTGTCATTCTGAATTATGTGAGTGTGATTCAGAAGTATTAACAAGACTGAGAATCGATGTCTCCTCCCTATAGCTTTACTAGGTGGGGGAAAGAGTTACTGTGTTATAGTCATGGGCGGTATCTGTATTCAAGATGTATCCCCAGATAACCAGCTGAGATCTAAATAGACTCCTTCAGTACTATTTAAATCCGTAATAAAACTGCTTGGTGTATTTAATCTGTTTTTTTCCCCCACACCAAAGTAAAAATGTAAAAGAAGTCTGGCCTCTTTACTTACCCCATTAATGGCAAAAGTTTTTTGTTCATGTAATGGAGCATGAAATATGCAAGAGCAGACATCCCCACATCTACTCAGAGTTCTCCAAGGGAGAGCATTCCTACTTCTCTGATGAACAGGATACTCATCGGCACACAGATTTTGCTGATCAAAGTTTAGTTGCATTGTTTGGAAAGATGAAGTAGCAGGAGCCCTTATGTTTTCCCTTGCCCACCACAAATGAGCGACTACCTTACCTCTCTCTCAGGCCATCCAGGCACAGCAGAGACTTAGGTGGCAACCACAAATACAGCTTGGCTAAACAAGGTCTACATTTGTGGGTCTTTCTGAGTAAGAGGCCTTTTGGATCACCTCATTGCAGCTTTCTCTGCCTCTTACAGTAGAAACACTTACTGGCAACTGAAGTACATATTGCAGCTGTTTTTAGTGCCTTTTCCTGATGGCTTTTTTTTTGCCAGCTTTTAATGACTGTGCAAACTGCAATTACTTTTTAAATTTGATCTGTGGACTACTCACCTTATCTCTGACAGTGACCAAGGAAGGCAAAACAGAGAGAGCCACTTCCGCACTGTCATTTTTGACACTCTTTTGTCCCTATTGCTTTGGGTTCCACCCCCTTTTCCACATGTGTTTCGCTCCCTCTGGGACTACTAGAGAGGGCAAAACAAATTGGGGGGACGACAACCCTGAAGCAATAGGGACAAGCGAGTGACAAAAATGACAGTGCGGAAGTTATTCCAAATCAACACAACTAATGGAAGAAGAATAAACTAGAGCACAAAAGGAGTTTCTAGAGCTGGAGATCATTTGGGGAGCTGAGAAGGAGCCGAGCAAGAGTCTCAGCATAGTGGGGGTCTGCATGATGAGGGGGTCAACTGGGCTTGCCCGCAGAAGTTTATATACTTTGGGTTTCTTCTTTAAAAACTTAAACCTCTTAAACATTTATTTTTCTTTAAAAGTTTTTGGAGTAAAGAATACTTGAGAATTCTGAAAGTTATGTTTTGGAATATAAATTATTAGATTAATTAATATTTTAATATGGGAGGGACACTTCCCAACTGCTGAAGAAGCGAAATAGAAAGGCTGGCGTATTAAGATAAAGTCAATGGCTTTAATTTTTTAAAAAGCTTTTATCTTATTGTAGAAAATGTGCTCAGGTGCTCAAAAACATTTACTGTGACCATTTATTTACATTGTAATTTATGCATCTTGAGACTAGTGGAGATGGGTGTGTTCCTTTTGAATAGAAATCTTCGTAACATAAGGCATGCACAGGTTTGAATGCTTTGCTTTCATTTCTCAGCAGAGTATATGATTTTAACTTTTTTAAAAAAATAAATTCATCAAAGGACATGTAGCATCCCCTAGTGACAAAACTAGAAAACAACAGAACCGTGTTTCTCATTAGGGTGACAGCCTGTATTTTATTTCAGTCAGTTAATGGGTGCTGTTTCTTACTCTGAAAGATCTCCTGCCTTTTTCAGGAATCTGGTCCAAAGTGAGGGTTTGCAGAGTCTTCCATATGCAGAAGATTGTATTTCTGTACAGGAGAAAAAAACTATACTGTGTTCCTGAAATGTAAAGTCATGTAAAAAAAAAAAAGTACATCTAAATTAAAAACTGGGCTGGTCTTCAGCCCAGTTCTTCCAAGTACTAGAAGGTAGATCTTTGCCCGTTGCTGGGACTGTAGAACTGAAACACAGTCTTTGAACATAGACTAGTCTGCTTATACCAGTGTGCAAAAGTGGCATCTAGTAATCCTAGAGGGTACTATTCAAAGAAATAAAGTCCTGGTGCAAATTAGGGTTCAACCGTATAGTAGTATTTACCTAAAGTATCAAACAGGAGGAATGAGGACATGGGTGGTCAGAAGGACTGCTTGTAACATCTGAATAGGCTGAGAAGGAGATTTACTTGTAGAAGTGTTTCTGGAGTTTGCTTCTTGTTTGTGATTATGTGGGTGGGTATCATATGATTTGCAGAAGCAGAAAGTGAGACTCCTGCAGGGCATGGTTAAATGTGTCTCATTTTTAAAAGCATGCCTGAAATCTTTTTAAAGAAGCTTTTAATTACTTTTTATTTTTCTTCTGCAGGTAAAGTGAGTCTAAGGTCCCATACAGGGGAAAGAGCCAAACAGTCACCCTGTGTGGTCTCATGACTGAGGGGGGGGGTAAACTGCTGGAAAAAACTTGAGAGAAGCATCTGCTGGAATATACAGCTGTGAGCACATTTCAAGCTTGCCATCTAATTTCCTCAAAATGGTCTGTATAATCCCTGCAGTGTCTAGGATGGAGCTGGAACCTCCCATTAATGCACACTGAATAAAATGGATAACCTGGAAGATCCTGTCTGGAAAAGTAGCATAATTAATTAAATAACTATGAAATTGATTTTTTAGTTGAACTCCACACTGGCACAGATACAGGGTGCTATTTCAGTTTGTCTGGCAACAGACTCAAAAGAACACTGTTGGTTTGTCAACATTTGTACTACACTTTTACTGGGTTAGCAATTTAAGTCAAAGACAAAAGATTCCAAAAACTATGTGAAACCTATGCATTTTGTTACTCTTAAACTTTATACCACCTCTGTCCCATCATTAAAGATATCTAGAACGCTAGATCTTCCACTGCTTTTCCCAAGCCTTTCCTGTAGTGTTTGGTTAGCCAATCTGTGGCGCAGATGTCACAAATGACATATGTAGTGGGGCATTGTGGTATGCCTGCTCTATGACTTAGGTGGAAAATTACATTAAGGTTCAGATGATGATAGAGATACTACAGTGAGTACCACAAAAGCCATGGTCTTGTACTTTGGACCCTTGGGGCATTTTCCCAGAAGGACAATCACTGCTGCCTTTGTAGGATGATGTTTCAAAAGTGCTTAAAAATGCACTGATTTTTTTTTGTCACCACTACCCTCTTCCTGGTGCCCCTGGTGTTCAAGAAAAATGGGTTGAAGGATTTCTGACTGCTCTTGTAAAATGGATCCCCAACGTTTTTGAGCTTTTGGAATTCTGACGCAGTGTGGTGGGCACAGCCACAAAATGGCAGGTGCACTTTATTTTCAGTCACAAATTGAAACTCCTCCTGCTGCTGTAGCTGTTGTCCAAAGCAACATTTTTTAAAAAAATCTGCCAATCAAATCTTCAGGGGCCAGTCAGAAGCCTTGCTGGGCAAAAGCCCACTTTCTAAGACCAAAAAAGCTCTTAGCAGGTTCCATGGCTACTACAGGAAGTGGTAGTCATGAGATCCGTAATCCCTTCTCTGCTGTAGGACTTTGTTTTTATGACAACACTGTGCACTAGATTAAAATGGGCTATTTGGATAAAAGCAAGGATGATGGCATCATGGAATGCTTATTAGGATAGGGAACATTCTGGGTGGCCTGCATAAATTAGAGCAACTCAGAGATGCAGTAATAAAGATGTGGGTAGGAAAGCAATGCAAGATTGACTGTTGCCAAGAAAACACTTTAAAGTGCAGTCTTCAATAGACCTAGTCAAAATGCTATTGAAATCTATGCAGTGGGGCTTATTCCCAGGAAAGTATTCTTAGGATTGCACTGGTTTCTGTAAGGTTTATAACACTGAACAATTAAAGTGCCTAGTTTATTTTTTTAAAATTCAAGAGCTACAAAAGTAAAGCTTATCGTTGCAGAAAATTTAGAACAGACTAATTCAAGCCCTGTGGGCTGCGGTGGCTCAAGTGGTTAAGACGCTGAGCTGCAGGCTGGAAGGTCGGTAATTCAACAGTTCGGGACCCGAGTGCCTGTCTCTGTGAGCGCCTGTCTCTGGTTCCAGCTCCTGCCAACCTAGCAGTTCGAAAGCAAGAAATCGCAAGTAGATAAATAGGTACTGCTTCGGTGGGAAGGTAACAGCATTCCGTGCGCCTTGATGTTTAGTCATGCCGGCCACATGACCACAGAAACATCTTCAGAGAGCGCTGGCTCTTTGGCTTGGAAACGGAGATGAGCACCACAACCCTAGAGTCAGATTCGACTGGCTTTCGAGCAAGGGAAACCTTTACCCTAATTCAAGCTCAGTGGATTTTTTTGGGAACATTTTGTTGCCTAGAGAGCACTAGTTGGATGAATGCTTGTCACTTTTATATTGTTTTAAAGAGTAACTACTAGAGTTTTCCTGCCTTCTAGTGTCTTACCTAGCATAGAATACTAGTCAAGCAAAGGGGGAGGTGTGGAGTAGTAAGGGAAACATCCAAGAAAAAAAGTCACACATTTTGTGGTCTATTTGCTTGCATTGCTTCCATTTCTATAGCAAGGGACCTTGTAGCAAATGGATAAGTGGGGTTTTGAGACCTGCATTAATGATTTATTTATTTATTACTACTACTGTCTAGTGTTCATGTTCTCGGAACAATAGTGTAGTCACATACTGTATTCTGTTTGGGAACTGCTCGTTACTACTTTTTCTATCAAAATGACCAGTTACATTGGATGACACAAAAATAAGCAATGCATAAAACAAGGAAAAGAATTCTCCACTGCTCCATATATGTTCAGAGGGACACTGTCTAGTCATAAGTAGTTTATGTGCACAGGATGTTAAAGGTGGGTGTCCTGTTTTGTATTTTTAAAACATATTAATATAGCTATAGGCTGCAAGAGCCCATTTGATGTAATTCCTCTGAACATCCAAGTGGCCTTTACCCTCTATAAAAGGCCATCTTTTTATTTATTAGTAGCTCTATGGTAACAGGCTGATGCCTATAAGAATATGCATACCTATTAAAGTGTATGAATAAATGTACACATGAAAAGTATTATTGTATTTAAATCCCATCCAGACATATAATATCTGCAGAGTCCGGTCTTCTGCATTGTAAAAACATATATAAATTTAAATATATCATGCATCCTGTTAGCCCTCAATTTATATTTAGGATCTGAAGTATTTAATGATTATTGGGAGTTTTTAAAAATGTGATAACAGAATGTTGTATACGTACACAAATTAAAAGCAGACAAACTTTATATGATGATCAATATTTTTGGAGCCCACTGATGCATCTGAATTTTTTTTTTGGTAATAATGTGAGATTGAACAGGAGGGCCCAGCCATAGTTGTTGCTTGGCCCAATACTAGAATTCTACTTCAGATAGTCTTAACAATGGAAATACTAATATGGTTTGTAGGTATATCAGTATGCATGCAAATTACAAGTTGCTGTTTTCTAAACAACTTGAGTTTAGCTTTTCTGCACCACCTGAATGCAATTGACAGTCACAAATTGAACGCTGATTCACTTGTTTGTTTTGTCCCTCCCTGTTTCTGGCTACCTGACCTTTTTAAATTTTAAAGCACTGCCTTTAACACTTTCAAGTATACATCAAGTATACCTTCTTTTTAAAAAGAAAGAAAAATGTATAAACATTGGAACAAAACTGCTTCTGGGTAAATGGTATGACTGCTGTGCACAGCCAGCTTCTGCTATATAGACACAAAGGTGATTTGCCCTGGGCTTGATCCAGGAGAGAAGATTGTATGATGAGCGTGCTTCTCTTAGGCTGCTTTCTCTATGAGCAGCATTATATACAGTGGAATGTTCCAGCAAGCAGTACATGAGGGTGTTGTATGCCTACTGTAGTGTATGAAAGAGTTCTACAAGCTGAATTTGATGTTTGTACAACTCACCACACAAACTGCTCTTTGAGTATTACAGTGAGCTGTTCCAAGTGATTATTCTTTCCTTGCAATCTCCTGCAAATCTGTGGCAAAGTTATCCTTATGAGTCATACAGGCAATCTGGGCTGAAAAAGCTAAGCCTGAGGTTGTTTGCATGGTCGAACTTCCTTGAGATGAGCTTTTTTACCCCGGGTAATTTGGCTGGCTGTCATTCTGCTTAATGGTGGTAAGAATGTTACTACCATCTATGGTAGACATATGAGCATGAGCTCAGTGAAGAATCTTTTTCTTTATCTGCTTACTGGAATTTTAAATAATGTCTCAAATTCTGTGATATTTCGCATTTGCAAGGAGACCTTAGCATTGCTGAAGCTTTGGTATGCGAACCAATATGCAGTAATATTGTGCACCTGAGTTCCGTTCAGAGTGCATGACTGTGAGCAGCGTTTCAGTGTGAGACTGCAATTATTTGTTCATATAACCATTCTAAAAAAATAACAGTTCTGTAAATAAACTGGAAACTGACAGTACAGAAGAATTGAGCTGTCCTGACCTCAACTACATTCACATTTTATGAAAAATATTGTTTCATTTCTACAGTGCACTTCCTTTGTAATGTTTGGTGCTAAATTTTGAAAAGTGTCGGATTTGTTTCATTACTTTATACAGACTTGAAGAACTTAATTGATCATACGTCAACATTGTTATATGTTGCATTAAAAAATTAACTTTTCTTCAGTCTTTTGATGCTTTCTATTTCTCCATAACTAACATGTTTTCATTAAAAACTGTTCTGAAGAATTCATGAGGAAATTAATCTTATGATCTGTTGACCTAATTGTATTTAAATCTTTCCCATAATCTTGATTAGTTCTTTTAAAGGTCTTCAATACTCTCTACTTATCCATTTCTTTGATGTAGATTTCTCATTAAGAACAGGCTTAAGAGAAAATTTCTCAACAGTCTTTCAGACATTAATTTAATCCATTCTCACTTGCAACATTATTGACTTTACCTGGAATGTTTTCCTGTTTAAAATTTATTAGTCTGCCTCACACAGTGTCTTTCCAACACAGAGAAAACATTTTACAAAAGATGATGCCTTTGTAGGGGAAAAAAGTGAGGCCCCATCTGAGGGCCAAACTGGATGTTACATCTGTCAACCCATTTTACAGACACACATGGCAGTGGGGAACGAATATTCCCAAGTACTGCAGAGCCCAATTTGGCTCAGGAGTACAGTGTGGGGAGAGGAGGAGGAGCTTCATTATTCCCAAATGTGGTCCCCTTTTTGTCAGGCAAATGTACTCAAACTTGATGGCCAAACTAGACGTTACAAGTTTTCCATACACAAGGGCCCAGGGTCAATCACTGCCATCTCTTGTTTAAAAGGATCTTGGGTAGCAGGGTTCAAAATGTACGCATTCGGTACACTTTATCCTACTCTTCCTCCAAGGAACTCAAGGCAGCATGCATTGGTTTCCCTTCCTCTGTTTAACCCTCACAACAACCTTGTGAGGAAGGTTCCGTTGAATGACAGTGAATGACCCAAGATCACCCAGCAAGTTTCATGGTACAGTGGGGATTTGAACAAAGGTCTTCCAGATCCTACTCCTCCACTACATCAAACTTTGCCAAAGGACTTGAGGGGAGGAGGGCTGCTTCCAACTAGGGAAGGCAATACTGTGCTAGATGAACCAACCAACAGCTTGGCTCACTATAAAGTCAAATGTTTCTGGGATGCAGTGTTCCGTGATAGATACACCAAGTTGGGAATCTGCTGTACATACCAACTATATGATCTGCATGCTCTGAGCAAAATAACCACTTGCACCATACTCTAGTAACCCTTTCCTTTAATGTCTCTGAAGAAATGCACGGTGTGAAGTATCACTTGAGCTAGCAGTCCCGTCCCCAAAGCTAGGTAGTTTGAAGCCAAAAGCAAACTTGCTTTTCTGTTGAACAAAATTTTGAG